AGACCTGTATGGAAAATGCAAGACTGTGAAACTTCTGGAAGAAGCATGGGAGAAAATGTAGGTGACCTTGGGTTTGGCAGTGAGTTTTCAGATACAGTACCAAAAGCATGATCCACGAAAGAGAAAATTGACAAGCTGGACTTTGTTAAAACTTTCTTCTCTGAGAAAGACAACATTAAGAGAATAAAAAGACCACGGATTGGGAGAAAATATTTGCCAAAGTCATATATGATAAAGGGCTGATGTCCAAAATACATAAAGAACTCTTAAAACCCAGCAAGAAAACAAACCAATTAAAAAATAGGCAAATATTTAGGCAGATATCTCACCAAAGAAGATGTACAGATGGCGATGAACGTATGAAAAGTTGCTTAGTAGCATATGTCATTAAGGAGTTGAAAATTAAACAATGAGATATCACTGTACACCTGTTTAAATGGCTAAAGTTTAAAAATCTAATCATCCCAAGTGTTGACAAGATTCAGAGCAACAGGAACTCTCATTCTTTGCTGGTGGAGATTCAGAATGGCACAGGCACTTTGGAAGACAGTTTGGTGGTTTTTTGTTTTTGTTTTGTTTTTACAATGCTAAACATAAAGTTACATCATCTAGCAGTTCTATTCCTGGGCATTTATCCGAATAGGAAACATCCACACAAAAACCTGCATGCAAATGTTTATAGCAGAATTATTCGTAATTACCCCAAACGGAAAGCACGTAAGATGGCTTTAACTGGATGAATCAGTTCAATATTATACAGCAGTAAAAAATAGTGAGCTATCTTGCCACTAAAAGAGAAGCACCTTAAATGCATATTGCTACGTGAGGGACACGAATCTGAACAGGCACATACTGTATGATTCCAATTATGACATTCTAAAAAAGGCAAAACTGTGGAGACATTAAAAAAATCGGTGGCTGGGGCGCCTGGGTGGCTCAAGTTGGTTAAGCATCCAACTTCAGCTCAGGTCATGACTTCACAGTTCATGGGTTCGAGCCCTGCACTGCACAGTTCGTGGGTTCAGCTGTGCTGACAGCTTGGAGCCTAGAGCCTGCTTCCCCGACTTGTGCTCTGTCTCTCAAAAATAAATGTTAAAAAAAAAAAAAAAAAGATCAGTGGCTAACAGGGCTTCGTGAGAAGGAGGGACTTGTGAATCAGGTGACTTACAGGCTGGTGAACTCTTACATATAATACTGTAATGGTGGGTATATGTCATCCATTTGTCAAAACCCATAAAACTAATGATACAATGCAAAGAGTGAACCTTAACCTGAACTATGGACTTTAGTTAATAATAATGTACCAGTATTTAACTGTCAGAAATGTGCCACAAGAATGCAAATGTTAATAATAGGAGAAAGTGTGTGGCAATATGGAGGGTAATATATGGGAACTCTATATGTACTATTTTCTTTTAATAATTTTTTCAAAGGGGAGATAAGTGAATGTGAAAGAGATGTTTAAGTCGTGCATGGACAAAACTGAAACCTTTTACAGGGTATAACAAAGTAACTTTTAAAAGTTGAAAAGGAAGGGGGAAAACCCTATAATAAATGTCATAATAACTAAAAAGTGACAGCTTTTTCTCTGAAATGGCAATGAGAAAAAGATGTCTTTCATTACCATTATTGACACTAGAGAAGAGCATATATTAATGAATTTGGAAGTGTTGGTGGATACAAGGTAAATGTATGGAGATTATGTATACTCGCAATGATTGGAAAATGACATTGAAGAGGCGTTTGGTTGGCTCATTCGGTAGAGCATGTGACTCTTGATCTCAGGTTCATGAGTTCAAGCCCCATGTTGGGCATAAAGCTTACTTAAAATAAATATGTGGGTGTCTCAATTGGTTAAGCATTGGACTCTTGGTCTCAGCTTAGGGCTTGATCTCAGGGTCATAGATTTAAGGTCCACGTTGGGCTCCATGCTGGGCATGAAGCCTACTTAAAAAAAAAAAAAGACAGGGGCGCCTGGGTGGCGCAGTCGGTTAAGCGTCCGACTTCAGCCAGGTCACGATCTCGCGGTCCGTGAGTTCGAGCCCCGCGTCGGGCTCTGGGCTGATGGCTCGGAGCCTGGAGCCTGTTTCCGATTCTGTGTCTCCCTCTCTCTCTGCCCCTCCCCCATTCATGCTCTGTCTCTCTCTGTCCCAAAAATAAATAAACGTTGAAAAAAAAATTAAAAAAAAAAAAAGACATTAAAAAATTTCACTTTAATAGTAACACATCAAATAACTGGGGGGCGGCGGGTAGAATCTAAAGATGAACAGAAAATCTATGTGGAAAACTACAAAGATTACTCTGAGAAATTAAAGATGTCCTAAATAAATAAGGGAATATATCATGTTTTTGAATTGGAAGACTTAATATTGTGAAGATCTCATTCTCCCCAAAGTTTCTATAAATGCGATGTAATCCCAATAAAAATTTCATAAAGTTTTCTTGTGAAAATTGACGTGCCAATTCTAAAATGTAAGCGGAAATTCTAAGCACCGAGAATAGCCAACGGAATCTTGATGAAGAACCAAGTTGAAGGACTTACGTTAACAGACATCAAGACTTAGAAAACTTCATAATTCGAAGAGCCTTACAAAGTCCAGAAGTACATCCACTCCTGGATACCCCTATATATATTCGCTTATGAGCAAGTTGCCATCGCAATGCTTTCTTAATGAAGGGTGAAATGATAACATTCGAGGTAGGAAGCAATTTCCAGGAAAAAAAAAAAAAAAAAGATTGCCTTGCAAAGTCCAGAGCTCAACTTCCCATGACTCTAACTCCTCTAGCGAGCTCCGTTTCTATTGCCAGTGTCCCCGGTGCTGCCATTCAGGGCATTTATTTTATTCACTGAAACATGATTCAGGAATTTGGCTTAGGCTGCGCTTTGGCAGTTTGGAGTCCCATCTTGCCTATTTAACTTGTGCAAATTCAACTACATGGTTTCGTGGGGTCATGGGGAAAGGGGAAATAATGTAAATAGTACAGGCGGTCTGCGTTTTCATTCAGTAACCACGAAATTTGCTAGTAAGCATGAGAGATGTAAGCTTGCGTTCCAGCTGTTGGTTCTCGCGTGTGTCTGGACGTGTGGGCATTTCGCTTCTGTTAGTGTGATTGTAGCATTCAAGATACGTGTTTTCCATACGTAGTTTTCTATGGAAACACAATTGCTTCGTTTGCTGTTCAGTTGAAGCAACGGCATCCAGTCCAATCCTGAAGGAAAACCAGCTCTGGTAAACTCTCTGAGGCTGCGTGGATAGTGGCCATAGGCTTGGGCTCTCAAGCCGGACTACCTGGGTTTACGTCCTAGCTCTGCTCTCACAGTCTGTGCGGCCTGGGCAAGTTAGTAACCTCTCTGTGCTCCACGTCCGACTCGGAAGCAGCAGATCATGACAGCATCTCAGGACGGCGTTGAGACCGTGAAGTGGCTAACGTAAACTGCGGCTCGCACCTGGGAAGCACGCGATCAGAGTTCGCTACTTTTATTATCATCAGTGCAGCCGTTCTTGCCGAGACGTGGCGGCACGTGGTCTGCAAAGCGGTAGGTCTTGAAGGGTTTCAAGGGGGGCTTAGCAGCTCCTCTTCCCCCCTCGGCTCACGCTTTAGAGCTCAGCCCCAGCGTGGAGCGCTCCGCCCTACCGTGGGCTTTTCTCCGCGGGGGACTCGTTCTTTCGGCTGTGGCCCGTCGTAGGGGGGGCGTGTGGCACAGGACGTGGGCCTTGAGGCGGCAGGGCCGGGGGTGGGGCGCGATGTGTTTCCACGGAGGCCGTGCGAGTGTTGGCGGACACGCTGAAGCGTGTTTGGCGTCGTGTGAATGCGCGTGTTCAGCCACCGGCATTTTCCTGTAGACGGAGGCCCACCGGGGTTTGTAAGATCAGCGTGGCCCGTGTGCTTCTGGCCTCTGCTTTTCACCCGAAGCCGCTCGGCGCCTCCGTTGTCCCCAGCGGGGCCTGCGGCCTCACTAGCGCCGTGGCGCTTGCCGTGGCGCTTGCCGTGCCGCGGTGGCTCGCGGGCCCTGGTGGCTCGCGGGTCCTTCCTGAGCGCGCGGGCTTTCGGCTCGCCACCGACTGTCACCTCTGCAGAGCCTCGAAGAGCTTTGTAGGCGCCTGTTGGCCAGCCCCCTCCTGCCCCTTGCGCCGCACGGACGCAGACTTCCGTGGGTACCTTCCAGAACTATGAGAACGGAGATCCTATTACCGTCCCCGACCTCGTCCCCGCCCACCTTTCTTCTCGCGAGAAAGCCGCTCCCTGTTTGCAGCCGCTGCTGCACAGCGCTGACCGCCACCCGCCGGCAGCTGCCTCCACCGCCAGCCTGGGGACCGCGCTCGGACGCCTGCCACGCTGACTGGCGGTGCCGCTTCCTCCGAGGGCGCAGCTGGCGTCAACTGGGGTTTCGTTTCCTCGCCTGCCTTGCTTGTTCCCACCTTCCTCGTCTCCTGTGGTTCTTGGCTTCTGCTCAGGAAAAACCAGTGACCGGGCTCCATCCTTCTGCCTTGCGAACAAATGTGCCCAAACCAAACAGAGTTTAGCACGGAGTGTTGCTCGACCGCGTTATTTGAGGCTCGGGCATCTGAGCCTGTTGGGTCCATCTGCCACCAAAAGAGGGGTTTGGGACATGAGACGTGTGCTAGGGACATGAAAATTAGAAGGATTTAGCTCTCCCTGGGCTTAGTGTCTGGGAGGTTAGACATTTGGCTTTTTAATAGAACAAGTTGCGATCTAGTGTCCCTGTCCGTGTCCTTGGAACAAAGGGCATACGAGTTTAATTGGTGCTGTTTTAAGGGGATTTGTGTAGTGTGTTTAAAACAGCTTTGGAACGTGTGGACATTTAACATTTCACGGTAGTGACGTAGAATTGTAGTGAGCTTGTCTATTGTGAATTGAGGAATCTTGAAAAAACTTACGATCTATCCAGGTGGCACATTACATTTTATCTTTAAAGTTGTAAATATCCTAAAACGTTAATACTGTCTCATTTTTTTGTTTTTCCCCTTTCTTCCTAGAATATTTTCCTTCTTGGATATAGTAACTTTGTGCCGATGTGCACAGATTTCCAAGGTAGAGTATTAACCAGATGTTTATCAATAAATATCAAGTTTTATTAGAATGAGAATGAGTTTTAGTTCAAGCAAGCAGTTAACTTTAATATCATCTTTTGTATTTAACATAATTCCATGTTTGATTGTCAACTTAATGTATATCAAGAATAAAAGTTTAGGGGCGCCTGCCTGGCTCGGTAGGTAGATCATGGGACGCCTGATCTTGGCGTTGTAAGTTCGAGCCCCACGTTGGGTGTAGAGAGGACTTAAAAATAAAATCTTTCAAAAAAAGATAATAAAAGTTTGAAAATACAGAGGCTGAGTCAAGACTTCCTCTAACAGTTGCCTTCACCCCTGTCTCTCCTCCTCTTCCTCCCGCCTCCCAGGCCTGGAACATTTTAGCCTTGGATGGAAGCAACTGGCAAAGAATAGACCTTTTTAACTTTCAGACAGATGTGGAGGTAAGTTAGCTTTATTTTAGACATAGGACTTTTTAAAAAGGTGAGTAAACTGGTCACTCTTTGCTGCCTTTTAATTTTGCTGCATTTAGTCAGATTTAATATAAAGACCCAAGAAGGTGTCTGCATACATGAGGACCAAAATTCTACTTGCATTTTGCTTTGGGTTCTGTATCAGTAATAGACTACTTTTCCTCCTTGTTCATGTTTATAACCTTAGTGGTATCACTGAGCTTTTTATTTTTTTTAAATGTTTTTATTTATTTTTGAGACAGAGAGAGAGACAGAGCATGAGCAGGGGAGGGGCAGAGAGAGAGTGAGACACAGAATCCAAAGCAGGCTCCAGTCTCTGAGCTGATAGCACAGAGCCTGATGCGGGGCTCAAACTCACAGACCTCGAGATCGTGACCTGAGCCGAAGTCGGACGCTCAACCGACTGAGCCACCCAGGTTCCCCATCACTGAGCTTTTTAAAGCCCCATTCCTGCATCATTAACACCTGGTTCCGTGCTTTAATCTTAGGAGACTCTTGACACACATTTATTGATCTGAAAGCTCCACCGAGAATTCTCATTCAGCACCAAGAATGGAGAAATAGCAGAAGAATTGGGGCCAGGAGTGAGGCTGGAGACCTGGACGATCACTCCCGCCCAGCCACTTAAGCCACAGACTATCTCAGCGCTTCAGTTTTATTATCCATAAAGTAAAGAAGTAAAATGATCCTTAAAGCCTTTTCTAAGTCTAGGATTCTCATGTATTTACCTAGAAATATGGGAACGTCTCCATCTAGGAGTGACAGCCCGAGCAAATGAGAAAAGTTTATTTTCAAACAACTTTAGTATTGAATACCAATTTATGACTAAAAACTAAGAGAGAAGTAATAAAGAGCATTGCACACAGGGATTGTCTAGAGAGCTGTTTTAGGGTGTTGAGATTCTGAAGTTTATCTACCCTATGTTAGGAAAACCTTGTTCACTTCTGGGGTAGCCAACTCAGTTATAGTCAGTGGAATTGTATTTTGGTTCGGTTCCTCATATAGCATTTTCGTGAAGTGTTTTTGCCAAAGTGTACGTTCTGTGTCTTTTTTAACGGATAAGGAAATAATCACGCTTGACGGTGAGTTGCGCCCAAACAATTTCCTTCCAGTTACTTAACCCGGTGTTACCTCGGGGAGCTAATGGCCAGTGTGGGGCCCCTTCACCTCCTTCTCCAGGGGATTAGCTGGAGAGTCTCCAACCCAGTGTCAGACCAGTGGGGCAGAGGGGCTGAGCACAGCGCTTCCCACTGTGGGTTCCTCTCTTGTTCTGAGCTTGGAAGGCTTCAGGGCTTCACGCCCACCCGGAAAGACAAATTCTCTTTGCTGGCTTGGACTGTGGTCCCTGGGTTAGGGGTTCTTTAACGCTCTTTCCAGACTTAATAGCAATGATTGCAACAGTGCCCCACCCAAACATGCTGACACGTGATTCCCCTTCAGACCGATAATCTCTAGATCTTTGTTCATTGTGTTTACTTAGTGATGTTGAGAAGCACATTAGATTCCAAAAATTGCAGTCATTTATGCTGGCCAAGGGAGAGTCATTGTTTTTTTACAATTTGCAAATTATGCATTCTTACTCTTGGTTCTTATTGTCCCCTCAGTGTTCTTTGATGATTTTTCCAAACTGTACAACCTTTTGAAAGCACACTTAAAACATTTACGGCCAGAGTTTTAAAAATGCTATTTCAAGTGAGTGGCACTACCTTATGCATTATTTGATTTCAGAATTTTAGCTGATGGCTGACTGCCGTTCTATAAACACATTGCATAAATATTTAAGAGTACGTACTTCCACTGAAGAGAGACTAGCTTACGGCTCACCAGTTATGTAAAATATTACTTGTGAAAACTTGAAACAGTTGGTACCAGGGTTTCAGTCTAGTCTAACACTATTTAGTCACCCTTGCGGGCTAGCAATTTGAACCCAGATTGGATTCAAGTGTTGGGGCCCCCGGTATTGTCTAAATAGGACCCATTGGATACTCACCCTGGGAAGCATTCCATGGATAAGCCAATCATCTCAAATTTATTTGGGACGAAAATGACGATTTATGGATATGTTGAAAGACAGAGTAGGTACCAAGGTTCCGGATTAATAGGTTAATAGTACTTACTGTGTGCCTGGCACTATTTAAGCAACTTACATATATTCATTTAATCTCCTCAGAAACACCACATTGAAGAAGCCGAGGCACAAAATGTTTGAGTGACTTACCCAAGGTCATTCACTCAGTAAGAGGACAGTAGTCACCTTGAACACAATGGATTACGTGATGTCATGTTTTAGAGAAAAGGCAGACTAGAGTCCCCAGAAGGCACGTGTGCTTCGGCACCTTTCCTTCAGCATCACTCTTTCCTGAATAAGTGTTGTTTCCCTGATGTTTAGGCATTTCCCATGCCTTTAAAAGTTGGATATTTTTGTGCCATTGGATTCTACCAGCCAAAAGTGAGGAATAGCCGAGTAGCATGCTCATCTAAAAATTACAACTCCAAAGGTCCCTCCATTTAGGCCTTGTTTCTCTCTAAATCCCTTCATTCCAAAATCCACGCCTACAACATACTATCTAAATGGATAACATACAGCCATTGACTTGACTTTTGCATTCAGAAAGAATTTGCTCATTTTTTCCTCTTAGTTGGAAACAGCGGAGTAGAAAATTCTGAATATATTTTTTTTTATTCCTGTACAAAAGCTTTTCCTCCAAAGAAAGAAAGAATAGAAAGCTCATATAAATGTAACTAAATTTAAATGGAGAAAAACATGTTGTGTGCTCCATTTGCCGACATTGGTATGGAGGGGTTTTTGCTGTCTTATTCTGTACTTAAATATTTATTTATCTTGGACTTCCAGGTCATAATCTGTTTTTTCCTCTAAAGACAGAGATTTGTTAACTCTTAAGAAAGCATAAATAAAGCTGCTAGCAATACTGAAGTTTAGATTTCCATCTTTTTTAAAAAAAAAAAATTTTTATTGTTTAAATTCAAGTTAGTTAACATACAGTGTAGTGTTGGTTTCAGGAGCAGAATTTAGTGATTCATCACTTACGTACAACACCCAGCGCTCGTCCCAACAAGTGCTCTTATTAATGCCCATCATCTGTTTAGCCCATCCCCCACCCCCCACCCCTCCAGCAACCCTCAGTTTATCCTCTACTTAGGAGTCTCCCCCTCCCTGTTTTTATCTTATTTTTCCTTCCCTCCCCCTATTTCATCTGTTGCGTTCCTTAAATTCCACATATGAGTAAAATCATATTTCATTTTTCTTTGCCTGACTTATTTCGCTTAGGATAATACACTTTAGTTCCATCTACATTGTTGCAGATGGCAAGATCTCATTCTTTTTCATCACCGAGCGTATTCCATTGTATATGTATCTATATCTATATCTATATCTATCTATATATACATATACCACATCTTCTTTATCCATTCATCAGTTAGCCAGGTAACAACATATGTGAGCCCTGTTCCTGTGATCCTGTGGTTTGATGAGATCTAGTGAATTGTTAGTGCTTACAGTTCAGGGCCCAGATTGCTATTTTATATAGTAAGGATAATAGTATTTTTTTAGAAACCCCAATGGCCCTTTTTTCGGTATTTTCTACCTCGTAGAGGTAGTACTTACGCGGAGTACACGGCCTTTAGAATCACATAAACATGTTAGAACCCTAACTCTACTACTCACTAAAGTGTAACCTTGGCGATGTAAACATTTACTTTCTTTATTTGCAAAATGAAGGTAATAGATCCAGTCTGCATTAGGATTCTCCGGAGAAACAGCCACTAGTATGTGTGTGTATGTAGACACATAGATTTAGTGTAAGGAATCGGGTCAGGCGATGATGGAGGCTGAGAAGTCCCAAGATCGGCAGTTGGGAAGCAGGAGGCCCAGGAGAGCTGATGTGTAACTCCAATCTGGGTCTTAAGACCTGTGAACCAGCAGAGCTGATGTGGGAAATTCCAGTCTGAGAGCTGACAGCTTCCAGACCTAAGAAGAGCTGAGGTTTCCCCCGAGTCCCAAGGCCAGAAGAGACCAGTGTCTCAGCTCAAGCAATCAGGCAGGAGGAGGAGTTACCTTTTACTCAGCCTTTTTGATTCCATTCAGGTCTTCAGTTGATTGGATGAGGTCCACCCACACTAGGAAGGGCAATCTGCTTTACTCCCTCCACTGATCCAAATGTTAATCTAATCCAGAAATGCCCTCACAGAGATACACAGAATACTGTTTGGCCAAAGATCTGGGCATCCCGTGGCCCAGTCAAGTTGGCACATAAGATAGATTAGCACAGGTTCACCCCTTGTCAATGTGGCGCCCATACGCATCTCCTCAACCTGCACTTAATCTCCGAAGACTGTAATTGCGCCTAATGTGATACAAGTACCCAGCCTACAACGGAAACACACCAACTCCTTCCTCAGAGGAAGAGAGAAAGTCCTGAGTGATGTTCACTTCCTGATACCCTGTACCTTAAATACCGTGATGCAGAAGTAACAGTTAAATACCAATACATCTCATTTTACATAAGGGAATAGGAGGGGAAAGAAAACAAACGTGGGGCGCCTGGGTGGCTCAGTCAGTTAAATGTCTTACTTTCAGCTCGGATCACGATCTCACTGTTGGGGGACTGAGCCCCACGTCAGGCTCCGTGCTGGGCACGGAGCCTGCTCAAGATTGTCTCTCCCCCTCTCCTTCTGCCCCTCCCCCACTCGCACTCTCTCTCTTAAAAAAAAAAAGTATTATCTCTACACACACACACACACACACTCATAACAAAATAGGGAGAAACACTCAGGACAATTGCAGTTTTCATTTCTGGAATTGGTCACATGCTGATCCTCGGTATTTACAACTACTTTCTTCTGCACGTTCCGTGCTCCCTTTATCTCCAGCAGGCCCCCCAGCTAGTCATGGTTCGTTACCATGGTACTTTCTGAAGTGTATGGGTCATTGGTCGTTCCACCTGGATTGACCTGTAGTCTTTTACTGGCCTGAATCACAGGGCATGGTAATGCTAAGAGAGACTCCTAAGGGATCTTCTGTATTCCAGACACATTCTTCATGATCTCCATTGTCGAGTAGTAGCCCGTGAGGTTGTCGTGAATATTAAATGAGTCGTAATACGTACAAGGAAGTGTTAAAATCGTGCCTGAAAAAGTGAAAGTGTTAACCGATGTTCATTTTTTTCCCCTTTAACATATCTGCCAGCCCGAGTTCCTTTTTCAAAGGAAATGTGTTTACATAGGGATTTCTAAGAAGAATGCGGGGGAGCTTTTATGATACATCTTCAGACTTCTAGTGCCGTAATGTTCGGCTACAACAAAGTTTGTTTTTTTTTGGAGCAACGTTGTTGTAGACCCCTGCTCAGCACCCAGTGTTCCCATAGCTGACGTCACAAAGCCTTGTCATCGGTGGAGTAGCCGTGAGCCCTGTAAGGGGAGGCCTAGCTCCGGGGCTAAAACTTCCAAAACATAGTGCACGGATTTTTTTTTTTTTTTTTTTTTAATATTTAACGCTTTAATTGAAACTATTTCTCCATGCCTGCAGCTCCTTTATACGCTAGGAACAAGGTGGGGTGTTGGAAGAATGTTCCGAAATAGCTTCTTTTATGCCCGGGAAAATTCGATTCCGTTTCTAAATTTCAGGTATTATGCCATTAGATAAGCAGCATGAAAATTAAGATGTTTTTCCCGACTTTCTTGATTCAAGGGTCGAGTAGTGGAAAATATCTCCAAGCGATGCGGTGGGTTCCTGAGGAAGCTCAGCCTGCGGGGTTGCATCGGTGTTGGGGACTCCTCCTTGAAGTAAGTTGGATCCACAGTGATTCACTCTGTCGTGGCAGCTCGTAGCCGACTTGCCATCAGCAAGAACAAACCAGAACAAACCAAGCATATTAAGTGCTCTTCTCCTGTGAGGTCGTTTCTGTGGTAATTTGTGTAGAGTAATAAAAGAACCGTAAGTTTGGAATCCTCTGGCCTGGGTTAGGGATGTGGCCTGAGGACGCATTATTTCACCTCGCTGGGTGTTGCTCTCTCTTCTGCAAAGCGAAGGCAGCTGTGGTTCCTGCGTGACACTGTCACGGGCATCACTCGAAACAGCACGCATGAAGGGCCTGGTGTGTGATGAAACGATGGTTCGCCTCTGTTCCCTCCTTCACTTCCCCTTCTTCCTAGCTTCATCTTCATGAAAGTGACCACCTTTTTGTGTATTCTCCTACTTGGCAAAATAATTCTTTCAGAAGCGTCCTGCACATAACCTGGAATTTTGCATGCTCCTGAAAGGATGTGATTACCACAGTCTTTTTATTATAGTTAACCCAAACACATGCTTGCCCACCTCTTACTGGGTAGCCATTATTTATTGGAAATGTTAGCAATCCGCTGTTAAGAACACGTGCTTTTCTGGAGACAAGACATAATTAAAGCCTTTATGTTTTTATCCTTGTGGCCTCTACTGTTGTTTGAGGTTGGCTACATTAGAATACACACTGCCCCCTAGAACCTTGGGATGGACTTTGTCTCTCGTAGACCTAAGCATCACCCCCATGTACGTCAGTCGCAACTGCCCGTGAGAATGTGCAGTAAAATTACAGATGGTGTAATTTGTCATTGAAACATCTGCACCATTGCTAGGAAAATTGACTCGTAACATGTTTTTAAATGTTTATGTATTTATTTTGAGAGAGACAGCACAAGCGGGGGAGGGGCAGAGAGAAAGGGAGAGAGAGACTCCCAAGCAGGCTCTACACCATCAGCACAGGGCTCGACTTGGGGCTTGATCTCAAGAACGATGAAATCATGACTTGAGCCAAAGTCAGGAGTCAGGTGCTTAACCGACTGAGCCATCCAGGCGCCCCTCCAGTTTTTTCTTGTAATGACCTAGAGCTAGCCTTGGCATCTACTCTGTTCCACATATGTAGTGTTGTTTTTGATGGAGGGAGGCTATTCGTTTGCAAATGTTTATTGAGCCCAACTACGCCAGGCACTGATCTAGGGAATGGAGATACAGTAATAATCAAAATAGATTAAAACCCCAGTACTAATCTTACATGTATGCTCTCTGTAACTCTTGCTCCAGCATTATATATGAAGTCCTGGGGATTTTTAACAGGTTTATTGAGATGTGATTGAGATACAATAAACTGTATGTACTTGAAGGGTACAATTTGATCATTTTAGGCATATGTATATACCCATAAAACCAACACTGTAATGAAAATAATGAACATTGCATGTCCCATGAGCATTTCCTCGTGTGCCTTTATAATCCCTCCCTCCCTCCTACCCTGTGTTGTCCCACTGCTAGGCAGCCACCAATCTGCTTTCTGTTGCTATAGGTTAGTTTGAATCTTCAAAAGTTTTAACTAATTATCCAGTATGTACTCCTTTTTGCCTGGCCTCTTCCACTCAACATCATTGTTTTGAGATCCACCCGTGTGGTCGTATGTATCAGTAATTCATTCTTTTTTATTGCTGAATAGTGATCCATTTAATGGATATAATACCATCTATTAATTTCTCATTTGGGTTCTTTCCAGTTTGCAGCCATTACATATAAAGCTGCTATGAACATTTGTGTATAAGACTTCGTAGGTCATATATGTTCATTTCTCTTGGGTAAATACCTAGGATTAGCTAGATCATTTGGTGGGTGTGTGTTTAACTTTTTAAACCTTTCAAACTGTTTCCCAAAAGGATTATGCCATTTTGTATTCCCACCAGAAGTGTGTGGTACTTCCAGTCCCTCCCCCACCTTGTCAACATTTGGTAGGTCAGTCTTTTTAATTTTAGCTTTTCTGATAGATAGATATGTGTAGTGGTATTTCATGGTGGTTTTAATTTGTATTTCTAATGATTAATGTTGTTGAGCATCTTTTTTTTAAGTTTATTTCTTTATTTTGACAGAGAGAGAGCACGAGCAGGGGAGGGACAAAAAAGGAGAGAGAGAAAGAGGGAGAGAGAAAGCCCGTGTGAGAGTGGGAGAAGGGCAGAAGGAGAGAGAGAGTCCCAAGCAGGCTCCACACTGTCAGCGTGGAGCCAGACATGGGGCTCAAACTTACGAACTGTGAGATCATGGCCTGAGCCAAAATCGAGAGTCAGATACTTAACCGACTGAGCCACCCAGGCACCCCGAGTATTTTTTTATGCACTTTTGCTATCCACATATTTTCTTTTCTTTTTTTGAGAGGTAGTGAGAGTGCATGAGTGGATGAGAGGGGCAGAGGCAGAGAGAGATAATCTTAAGCAGGCTCTACACTCAGCATGGAGCCAGACACGGGGCTCGATCCCATGACCCTGGGATCATGACCTGAACCGAAATCAAGAGTCAGATGCTGAATTGACTGATCCACTCAGGAGCCCCTATTCACGTATTTTCTTTGCTGAAATATCTGTTCGAATGTGGGGTTTTTGCCCTTTTTGTTCATTGGATTGTTTTTTGTCTTACCATTGAATTTTGAGAGTTACACTCTGAATACAAGTCCTTTATCAGATTTGTATTTTGTAAATGTTTTCTTCCAGTCTGTGGTTTATCCTTGTATTCTCTTAACTGGTTTTTGAAGAGAAGTTTTTCATTTTAATGAAGTTCAACTTACCAATTTTTGTCAATGATATATGAGATCTTTGCCTAACCCAGGGTCATAAAGATTTTCTCCTGTGTTTCTAGAAGTTGGTAGTTTAGATCTATGATCCATTTTGAGTTGATTTTTGTATATGGTGTGAGATATAAATTGAAATTCATTTTTTGCATATGATGTTTGGTTATTCTAACACCGTATGTTGAAATGACCACCCTTTCTCCACTTCATTGCCTTGACACCTTTGTTGAAAATCAGTTGTCCAAATAACTGTGGGACTATTGTTATACTCTCTATATTTTCCATTGATCTGTTTGTCTGTCTTTATACCAAGCCACACTGTCCGGATTAACTGCAGCTTTATAAGTTTGAAATCAAATAGTGTTTTTCCTCCAACTTTGTTCTTTTCAAAATTGTTTGGCTGTTATAGATTGCATTTTCATATAAACTGTAGAATCAGCTTGTCAATTTCTACAAAATATCTTGCTGGGATCATAATTTAGGATGATGCTGAATTCATAGATCAATTTGGGGAGAACTGACATCTTAACAATATTGAGTCTCCCAACTCATGAACATCGTGTATCTCTCCGTATAGTTAGGTGTGTTAAAATTTCTTTCAGCATGTTTTACAGTTTTACAGTTGTCATAGGACAATTATACACATGTTTTGTCATATTTATCTATGTTATGAAATGTTATTATAAGTAGTGTTTTTTATTTCAATTTTTGATTCTTCATTGTTAGTAAACAGAAATACTATTGATTTTTGTACATTGATTGTTTGTCCTTCAGCCTTAATAGACTCCCTTTTAGTAGCTTTTTGTTTGTTACTTTGGACTTTCTGCATAAACAGGAGTCATGTCACCTATCATCAAAGATAGTTTTTCTTCTTTGTTTCCAATCAGTGCCTTTTCTTATTCTTGCCTTATTGCACTGGCTAGAATATAGTACAGTGTTGAATAGAAATAGTGAAAACAGACATCCTAGACAGTTCATGACCTTAGGAAGAAGGCATCCAAATATGGTGTTAGTTCTAGATTTTTTTGCTGATGATCATCCAATTGGGGAAATTTTCCTCTATTTCTAGTTGGCTGAGGGTTTTTCTTTTCAATTGAGTGTGGGTATTAGATTTTGTCAAGTCCTTTTTCTGTGTAAGATTATTGTATGGTTTTACCTGTTTTTAGCATGGTGAATTACATTGGCTGATTTTTTTTTTTTTAGTATTTATTTTTAATTTTATTTTTTAAAATTTACATCCAAATTAGTTAGCATATAGTAAAACAATGATTTCAGCATTAGATTCCTTAATGCCCCTTACCCATTTAGCCCATCCGCCCTCCCACAACCCCTCCAGTAACCCTCTGTTTGTTCTCCATATTTATGTTT